ATCAATATCCCAGAAGTTTAATTAACTTGATGCTTTGCTCTGATTACAAAGTGTTCCTTTCATTTCTCTGAGTAGTGCAGATTAATTAATTCCACAGGGAAAAGGAATTACTTTAGGATTAGGATTCACTGGATGATAAACTACTGAGCCTACTGGCCCAATCTGAGGTCATTCTATGGGGCTGATAACCGCTAATAAAAAACATTGATAGAACATTTGAGGTTTCTAACCTTAAGCTTGATCAAGTCTGAGTTTGTTAAACCTGCTTTGCGAAATGGAGCCCTGATGAAAGCCGCTCCTGAGGCTCAGTCTCACTGCTTCCTTTGCTAACCTCCTGTTGAGCATCTAGCAGTACCTAACACAGCCTGTTGGAGGCGCTCACCGTGAACCGCTGATGAACCAGGCACCAAGGCTGACGAGCCGAGCGCCTCTGGACTTTTCCAGACCGCGCTCCTGTCTGCACGTCGCTACGTGTTCACAGGTGAGACGACGGGCAGCGATGACATGGAATCCAGAACAAAGAGAATAAATTCTGGAATTCATCAAATCTGTGAGTTTAATGCTCTAAACGTCTTCCTGAGAACTGGTGGTGGTAAGCAGAACAACTGAGTGGTGACATCATCGGTCACGTGGTCTGATACGACAGTCCGTTACTGTAGGCTGCTTCTGGATCAGAAACAGGTGGGGGTAGGATAGAGCTTTACCTTCCTGGAAACCAGCTGCAGGGCGTCCTCCTCGAAGGCCTTCACCTTGTTCAGGCGGGACGTGATGATCTGCTGCAGCTGCTTGAAGGTGTACGGCTGGAAGGACATGCGGGTCAGACCCTGGGAACACGCAGAGCGTCAGACGCTTCGATTTATGGAGAAACAAAACATGCATCACAAACTGGACCCAGAGTCGGACCACCAAGCTGAAAATCTTCTAACTGAAGTTTCATTAAACAAAAACATTTGTTGCTTCAAAATTAGCATTTATTTCATTTAAAGGGCAAAAAAATTCAAGCAACGAAACCTGCTGTTAAATACTGATGTTTCACAACAAAAACGTTGATTTTGGAAGAACTGATGTCTGAAAAAATGAAATCTTCATAAAACTAAACATCTGATTCATTCATAAAATTGATTAACTGCCCAAACTAAATCTGAACAGCACCAAATCCAAAAAGGACCAAAAATAAATAATAAAAGTTTGAGAAAAGTTTCAGCTTTAGATTTCTGTTGTTATTCGCAAGAAGAAATGTTCTGATGTGAGGAAAGGCTCGGCGGCGTTTAGCAGAACAGCTACATTCTTTTACATCGACTCTATAACCAGTTAAAGGTATAGAGGATGAGAATTTATCTCTGGGTGGATCATCTCAATCAGTGGTCCTCCTAACTGTCAATCATTCTGGTGATCTGTTCGCGTAAGGCCGTCCTACGCGCTTGTCCCGTTAGCGCGCTCGTCCCGTTAGCGCGCCTTTCTCACCGCGGTTCTTTGAAAATGGCTGAGGGTCGGAAGACAAAAAGTGCCTACGAAGTGAAGGAAAGAAAGGCCTCAGAAGAGGGAGATATGTCCCAGAATGCTTTGCACGGAGAGCTCTCCTTGCAAAGCATTATGGGATTTTCTGTCACAGCGACCCGCTGTCACCATAGACCAGGGGTCGGCAACCCAAACTGCTCAAAGACCCATAAAGGACCAAAAAGCCTCGTCTAGCAACACGGCTCTAAGTGTTTTATCCCACTATAGAAAAGGACGATATGGGCTTAATTATATAATAAACATTCATGATTAAATGTTGATCCTGGAGCAAACGTCACATCGTAGCAGGAGGTGATGGGCGAGCAGCGAACGCTCTCACCGGGCGCTGCGTCACCGCGCCATCTGGTTTTGTTGCATTGATGAAATAATAGCAATGCGATAAAGGAATCTTTCTATGGTGGACGTGTTTTTGTTGGGAGGAGCTGATGGAGGAACCAAGCAGGAAGTGACATCATCAGAGCAGAGCTCTCTAACCCTGAAACCCCTCATCCTCCGTCACCAGCTCTCCTTGGTGGGATTTAGATTTTTAGGATTTGGGGAAAAAATGTTAGTAAGTTTCCATCCCTGCATCAGAGCGCTACCTGTTGGATCTATGAACGGTTTTCTATGCTCTATGCTCCACTACTAGCTGCAGTAGTGGAGTTTGGAGATGCAATCACGGTTCTTACAGCATAAGGTGAGTTAAATTCAAGACTTTTTAAGACTTTTTAATGCCACTTGAAATAAAAATGTAAGACCAAAGTCACAAGAAACACAAGAAAAACCTGCTTGCGACAACTTAACCCAAAGGTTTATTTTAACATAAACCACTGCACTAATGTTTCAAAGTTTGAAAAGCTTCCCATACAGGAAGAAAGCTAAAAACACACAAATGACAGATATATTTTAACAATTATTTAACTGAATTCACAAACTTTGTTTTAGCAGGGAACAAAACAAATCAGTTTTAAAGCCCTAACATAACCAGTGCTAAGTCTTTTTAGCAGCTATTTTTCTTTGTGTCGTTTTTTATGTTTGATTTGGTGATAAGTGGAGGCGTTGCAGAGACAAGGGTGGAACTAAACTGAGAAATACCGGCTGTTTCTCTGTAACTCCATTTTGACGCTTTGTGTTTCGTGCTTCGCATGTGCGACTCCACTGCCTTAATTCCCATCGTTCTGAGCTTGAATGACTTCTTGCACTAAATCCACTGAGCCTCATGTATGTTCCCTGGTTTTAGCCATGGAGGAAACTCTTGGCTGGAGACAATTTTGGTTACATTTACACTTGCTCATATTTTCCAGACTAAAAGTAAATGGCGCATCTCCCAAATGTCCCGGCAGCAACAACGCTTTATTGGTTCCGCTATCGGGACGGAACCAATAATGGCGAGCCGTTATTATTTTTTATTAAAAAAAAAGGTCAATTTTTATGTTTTATTTAGATTACAAATATAAATAATAATACAAATAATCTTATTTATGATGTTTTAAAAATTAAGACCTATGAAAGACTGATTTAAGACATGTTGATACCAATTAAGGCCTTAGTTTTATTTTGACGAATTCAATGCCTTTTAAGACTTTTTAAGGACCCGGTGAACCCTGGATATGACACAAGTCAGTGAATAGTTCCGTCTGAATGAATGAAAATAGTTTTAATGGTTATAGAGTCAGATATGTGGCGGTAATGTTTGATTTATCTAAAGGTTTTTATCTGTTACTGATTAAATGGGTTTGGCTGGAATTTAAGGACAGATTCTAATATATCTGCAGGGGAGGGGGACTATAAATCTGATAGGAGTTTAATTTTTTAATTGCACAATTTACTGAACTAAGTATTTATTTTTTTGAATATAAGAGATACATTTTTTATACATACATTGTTTAGATTTATCTTTCGACTCCTTTTATAGAATATAACAGAATAGCAAATCATTATTGTCCATCAATCGGGAAATTCTGGTGTTTTCAGCAGCAAAAGAAGTTTTGAAAAAAATGATCACGCAAATGTGGACCTTAGAAAAATGTATTAAAAAGAATAACATCATAGTGAGGAGTTAAAAGATACAATAAAATACTGTAAAGTGTTTTATATATAAAACTAGAAAATAAATATCCAATATGCAGCTATGGACATTTTTCCAGTAATTTGAAAATAGCAGCAACATCAGAGATGAAAGCAGCAGGTTATTTAACTGACTAAGGTTTCTATCATTACATCTGATTTGATTGGTTCCTGCTGCCGGTGGTTGGAACCTTTATTCCACTCTGGATTCTCATCAGTCTTTGTTCACTTTACAATAAAAAAAATGAAAAAGAAAGTGGTTTGTGTGTGACTGTCACAGTTGCTAGGCGACAGAGCGAACGGCGGCTGGACCTGTTTGAATTCACAGCCAAAACTCTTCCGGTCTCCTTATTTTCATAGAGTTTTTCCGAGGAAGCCAACTAAATGGGTCGGTTCCTTGGAAGGATGCAGCCCCTGAATTGGATCGCTCTCCAGGACCCACTTTGGACCTGCATGGTCTACATGTCAACCTTTAGAGGTTCCAGTTAGCTTGTGAGTTTTTGCTAACAGTGGTTCTGGAAGCAAGCAGCAGATAAAGAACCTTTAGAAGAACCTGATCTGCTAAAGGTTCTGACCTCCCGTCAGTCATCGTTAGTCATATAGCCTCACCAGTCTGCTGGCCACTCTGTTGATCATGATCCTCTCTGGCAGGTCCATGGTGTTGGCGATGGTCAGAACCACCAGGCGGGCGTGGCGGCGGGTCGGCCAATCGAACAGGTTGTACATTACATTCTGCTTCCTGGTCCAAAGCAGGTCCAACTGCAGAGACAGACAGTCTGAGGATGCATGTGGTGGAGATGAAAGCAGCCAATCAGGATCGCTTACGGCCGCCATCTTTTAACAAATATGACGATCCTTCATGGTTCAGATCAAAGTGGGACCTAAACGGGTTTACGGGTTGAAGTTCCTCCTAATAAAGTCAAAACTTTTCATCTGGGTCAGTTTCCTCATTAAATCAGAAGCTTTTACGGATTTCAAGTGTTTGATTTAAAACTATAAAATATTTTTTTAAAATATTGTCTATAATAAAATGTATTTATGATATTTTATGTTTTATTTTTGGGTAAATGTATGTATTTGATGTGATGTTTGTTAATAATGCTGTTTAAATGAGATGGCTCTCAGTCTGCCAGACTACTGGAGTTTATTGGTTGAAAAGCTGCCTGCGGTGCAAATACTAGTTAATGTCAATATTGGTCATATTTGAAGACACTGCTATCCGTCCCAGAGACAAAACTGGGCAGATGATGTTTTCAGGGAAAATAAAGACAGCAGGTACAAAGTTCTAGAACCTCCCAATTCTTCCAGATTGTGTTTAAAATAATGCGGTTTATCGTCTCTGAAATGAAGGCTGGAGCTTAAAATGAATCCAGGGACAAACCAAAGAGTTCGCCAAACTTTGGCAGATCTATGTCGACACAGATCTCCTGGCTGCTTATTCCTCAGGAAACTGTCCAGATCAGTTTTCTCACCTCGTCCACCAGCAGCACCGTCGTTTCCTTCCTCAGAGCCGGACTGCTGAACCTCTTCTCCAGCAGCGCCGCAGCGTGGTCCGCTGTGGCTTTCTGACCCGTCAGCTTCTGCAGAACCAGAGAAAAACCTGCTGCTCAGATGTTGATGATTGTCCAGAGGAAGAGCTGCAGACTCTGGGAAAGGAAAACCTTCATAGGAACAATAGAGACGTTCTCTATCACAGTTATCAGGCTCCTCTCCTGTGGAACCAACTACCAGTTTTAGTCCGTGAGGCAGACACCCTGTCTACTTTTAA